AGCCCTGTAATTCGCAGAGCCTCTAGCCCTTCTGTGAATATTGTCACATAAACATTCTTTGACGAGAAACTCAGATTAAAAATAAGTCCATAGATAAAAACAAAATGATTGGCACTGGGGTGCTGGAGACATGGCTCAGGGTTAGGTAAAGTGTCTGCTATGCAAGCCTGAGGTCCGCGGCAGCCATGTGTACACTGACTGTGGCAGTGTGCCTCTGTTCCCTCAACTGGGGTGGCATAGAGACGGGTGGATGCTCAGGGCTTGCTGGCCAGCCAAACTCGTGCACTCCAGATTCAGTGAGAGACTTTGTCTCAAAGAATAAGATAGAGAGCAGCAGGGAGACACCTGACGTAGTGAGCACATACAGGTGTACACACACACACACACACACACACACCCCACAGAGACTGTCACCGAAGGCCTGACCCCCACCTGCAGAGAGACACGGGGTGACTTTCTGTGTGTCAGTTCACTGTCTGTCCCCTGTCTCTGCCATCTTGAAGCAGACGGAAGTAGAAGGCTTCACTTCTCATCCCCTTCTAACAGTGACAGATCTGACAGGGAAGCGTGTCGTCTGTCAGAGGTGCACTGATCTGAGACCCAGTCAGGGAACGGAGAATGGGACTACTGTTGACTCAGTGACTTAGTCTTCCTGGGAGTCAAGTTTAATATGTCCAGGTTGTGTTTTCTTGAGCAGTTTTTTTTTTAATTGAAGATACAGTTTAAGCCAAATTACACCCACTGTCTGAATCTTGAGTATGAGTTTGGCCTGGCTTCTCTTTCTCCCTTTCTCCAGACTCATTTAGGGAAGCAGATTTCCATATACAAGCTGAAACCTGCATTTCTACATTTCAGTTATCACAATGGGGCTTCAGAAAACATTCTCGGTGTCCAATTAAAGACTAAGCTATCGGCGAGTACCACATTCAGGAGGTGCCGTCAGAAAAGACAGAGCAAAAACCATCTGAGATGTAACCTAGTAACTGTGCTTATCTCTCTGAGCACAGCTGCCAGACACGGGCCCGGTGCCTGCAGCCTCCACCCAGGGAGGTGTGACCTGCTAGCATGCATAAGGAAACAGTCGCCTAGAAGTCTGCCCGAAGTAAATGGTCTAGCTAGCATTGAAGCCCAGGACGTCTGACTTCAAAGCTTTAGTCTTCATTTCCATTCCTTACTCTTCCAAATCAGAGCATTTGGAGATTTATGGCAGGGTGGGGGAAAGGAGGAGGGGGCATGAGAGAAACAGTCCAGATAAGGGAAACAGGTCCACAGATGACAGCTGGAGCCCCTTATGAACGTGGGGGACATAGAAAAGGAAGAGGTTTTTTGAAGGAAGGCTGTTGAGAGGGGGCATCTGAGTAAAATGCCTGTTGGGTGGCTGGGTGCCTAAATATAGAGCTGCGGAGAGCGTGAACGAGGCTCACGAAGTAGACTTGGAGAGATCTGTTTCTAGGCAGCAGAAGAGGATGTGGGCAGCAGGAGGCGGAGGAGGAGAAAATGGGAAGAGAAGAGAACCAAGACCCTCCAGGACCTGCAACATTAGGGTCCCAGCAGGAGAAAGCCCTTCAGTGGAAGAAAAAAGACAGCCCCGGGGTGGTGGAAGGGCAGAAAGGGCCACAGACATTTGATGAGGGGAGGGCGGTAGTAGTGCCCAGTGAGATGAAGGGATTATACAAGGTGGGAGCTAAAAGGGTATCGTTGATCTTGGAGTAAGATCAGTGTAAAAGCAGCTGCTGCCCTGGGAGGACCAAACAGCAGCTTCTTCCAGAATTCACCCCTGCCATGTGGTCTGACTGGTGTTTGTACTTTCTGGTGTTCCCTGAGTGAGGTTCATCTCATGTTTACAGAAGCTTCATGCACAGCAGTCAAACTTTGGAAGCAACCAAAATACCCTTCAATGGATGAATGGAGAAACAAATTGTGGTATGTCCATACAATGGAATATTATTCACTGCTAAAAAGTAATCGGCTCTCAAACCATGAAAATACATGGGGGATGACCTTAAATGGTTACCGCTAGTATAAATCATCCAATCTGAAAAGGTAACAGTACTGTCTGCTTCCAGACGTGTGGCATTATGGGAAAGGCAAAGACCTTGAGAGGCAAGGGAGAGCATGGGGATTTTAGGGCAGTGGAGCTATTCTGTATGATACTTTAATGGCAGATACAAGTATTGGGCATTGGTCACAGTTTCCCACTGAGCTCTGGGACAGAAAAGGAGCTGTGTGAAAGCAGCCCTGCTGGAAACCATGGGCTGGCCTTTGATTCATGGAGATCCACCTGCCTCTGCTGGCGTGAAAGGCAGAATGACTGTACAAAGGCTAAGAAGACAGAGAATGCAAACCATGTGCATACCGCCCTGAGAGAGAAAGAGCAAGCCTGCTGTTAGTGAGGAATGTTAGTGAGGAATGCCCGTGTTCCAAGGACAGCGAGGACCTCACTCACCTTCTGCCAACTTCCCACCACTAGGCAGCGCCGTTTCCTTGACGTGGTGCGAAGAAAACGCCACCTCCTAATTTTCCCGGTGTCATCTCTGATCACTGCCCTTGAGTGATAAGCTCTGGTGGCAGGTGCTTCCTTAATTCTGCAGTCCTTCAGACCACCCTACCTGCGCCAGCTCCGTTGTTACTCCTCTCTGTCCGCCCCACCTCCAATACTTTCCCAGTGAAAACCTGGCTGACCTCCTTTCCCAGCCACTGAAGAAGAGCAGGTTCTCTCCCAGATTCCGTCGGGTTTTTTTTTTCCCTGTTACATTCAAAAAGTAAATACTTAGCACACCACAAAGTAAATAAAAAACCAAAAATTGAACACAGATTCAAAGGGAGGCAAGCGTGATTACATGCATGGGGATGCTCTGGCAGGGAGGTTTTCTTGGTTTGGGCACGTTCCTGTTTCCCTTGAGCATCTGTGGATTTACCCAGAAGGGTTTCAGGGTGGCAGTTTGCAGTGGCTGTGCTGTAGCCCAGTGCTTTAGTGCTGATGCCTTCACTAGCACTAACTCTTCAGGTCCCAGGAGCTGCGATCCTCTGTTGTGTAAGGAAGGAGAGAGGAGAATTGCATATCCTACTCTAACACGAATTGCTGAATGGTCTTATTAATAGAAAAAAAAAACCCAGAGCCAGATATTGGGGTGAAAACTGAAAGATTAGAGAGACAGAACAAGCCAGCCACGTTCTTACCTCTACGAAATCCTCAGCCTCAAGAGCGAGACTTCCTGTTTACTCACACCTTATATTCCTTTCTGTGCCCTGCCATCTTCCTTCCTTCTGAGTGCTGGGATTAAAGTCATGTGCCACCATGCCTGGCTCTGTTCCCAGTGTGGCCTTGAACTCACAGAGATCCAGATGACTCTCTGCCTCCCGAATATTAGAATTAAAGGCGTGTGTTACCACTGCCTGACCTCTATGTCTAATCTAGTGGTTGGCTTTGTCCTCTGATCCCCAGGCAAGCTTTATTGGGGTACAAAATATATCACCACACTACTCCTGTTATCTCTGAGGTTTAGTTAGAGCCGTAGCCTACTTCATCTGGAAAGGACAGATTGTCTAGATGGCATTTTCATCTGTGGAATCCATAGGTCCCATAGGCCTCAAAGCAACTGGCTGTTAGTTTTTCTGTCATATGTGTAACAGACAGTAAAGAGCAGCTATGTTCCAGGCACAGTGAGAGGCACTGTAAATACGGTATGATGGAGATATGTTCCTGCTTGAGGTACAGGAGACCAGCCTGCATCGGATACCATCTTTCACAAGGGGTGCCGTAGTGTCCACCTGGGCCACCATCACATACCATGGACTCGTTTCTTCCTTCAGTTCATGAGGCTAGAAGGTTTAGATCAAAGTCTAGAGGGTTCAGCTTCTCATGGAGGCTCCTCCTCAACTGCAGATGGCTATTCTGTCCACATGTCCCCATGGCCTTTCAGTGAGGCCAGGGAGATCGTGGGAAAGAAAGTTTAGCACTTCAGATTTTTGGTGTCTCTTCTATAGCAACACCATCCCATCAGCTCAGCACGCCCCCATTATGACCTAATTCCTCTTTAACTGATACTTGTTTTCCGTGACAGTTACAATGGGGCTTAGGGGTTGGTCCTATGGAGGAACCTACAGAGAGCGGCCGGTAACAGGCGGATGATAATGTCTTGTTTGCCGAGGTAGACAGCATCTGTAGGGATGGCAATGGGCTGAATTTTGAGCACATGTAAAGTCATTTGCCATGTGACAGGCAAGCATAGCCCCAGCTGGAAGATGCTGGTAGACTAGCCAGTAAGCAGTCATCCTTCCGGAGAAAAGGAAGTTACCACGGCAGCACTCTGGACCAGCTACAGCTTTGACCAATAGTACAGCTCTGGTCCACCAAGCTGGTGAGTCTTTTTAAAGTGGAGCTGTGTGACACAGGTGTCCTGGACAGTATACACGTCACCCAACTTCTATAGCAACTGCGTCTTCCTGTCTCCTGCCAAGGTGGTTACTTGATTCAGTAACCGTCATAGTCTGCCTGTCCTTGAAATGGCTCGAGAAATGATTGTCCCTCTTGTTCTGCAATGGTGGTGTGAGATGAGGCTGGCTAGGAGCGGAGTTCCTGCCCTGCTGTTTCCTTCCTTATGCCCATAGTCTTCTGCGAGCCGCACACCTGGCCCGCACTTGTGCTAATGGCCTCTGATGTGGGAGGGGGTGTTATCGGGAGGAGGAACTGTCACGGACCTCTGAGACAATGGATTTGAAACTGGTGGCATTGGTCTGTGCTTTGTTGCTGGAACCTGGTCTTTTGGGTTTTCACTGTGGCTTAACGGTGGCCAGGGAATAGTTTCTTCAAAGTAGGGATGGAATTACGTTCAACTTCGTTGTAATCTTACTTAGCCCCCCGTGGTGATTGCAGCAGTAGAGTAGTGATTGGTTTTGGATGAACTAGAATGAAATATATATATATATATATACATATAGTCCAAAAGAAAAGGGAAAGATGGTATTATCATCTCTTGGCAGTTGTTTCCCTGGTATATTTCCACATTTGTGCAGTGTATAGGCCAGAGTCCACAGTCTCACTTTTCTGTGCCAAAAGACAGAAGCAAGATCCTAGCCCCATGGCCATAGGAGCTGCTGGTCTCAGGGGAAAGGAGGGAGAGTGGGACAGGGTGGTAGTCAGAAGGTTTGTTTGCCAAGTCATTCTTCCCCGTCTAGACCCACTAATCCTATCGTCACATGAGGACTGTGGTGTCCTGGCTCAAATCAAAATGAAAGCCTTCTTATGTCTCCAGTAGGAAGTTGCTGTTGCTTGAGGAAGTGGGCAGGAAGGCACACCTGTGATGGCTGGAAAAGCGGCAGCATGCATCATGGGCTTCAGAGGGGCATTAGCCCTGCGAGTCCCCCACCCTGCTCCCTTGCACACACTGTGGAGGAGTTTCTGAGCAGATTGCATTTACAGATGTCTCAGTGGCCACTCAGCCAGTCTGTCTGCGCTGCTGACGCCGCAGTCCCTGTATGGGACTCTGCTCAAGCAGCCTGTGTCTGGGTTGCTGCGCAGGATGCCAACGTTTCCCCAGCTGTTCCTGTGAGGACAGTCGGTTGTCCTCTCCCCCTTCCTGTGTGCTCCCCTTCATGCCAGGCTGCAAACTTTGCTTCTCCATCATCAGAGCATCCTTCTGAAGCACTCTCCTCAGCTGGGAATCGCTCCCTGACTCTTGTCGGGCAGGGTTATAGGTCCTCTGCTTGTAAGAGAGAGCAGTCTTACAAAATCTGAATCTCCAGCTCTCAGAACAGTGGCAACAGAGCAGCATCTGGAACTGAATGGATGCCTTAATAGGCTGGTGATGCCGATTGCTAGCATCGCGGCAGAGGCAGCCAAGGAAGAAGGCTTACAATTGCTCTAGGTAAATCACTGAGCATCCAGGAGCAGCAGCCCTGCGAAGTGTATGATCCCACCAGGAGAGAATTGACTGCATTTCCAGGAAAGAACACGGAGGACAGCCCCATGTGTGAGTAATCCCTCCAGTGGGAAAAGCTAGTTATTCTAACCGTGTGTGCTCTCCGACCACAGCTCTGGTGACTGAATCTCGGTGGGCTCTGCACAATGCCTGGCTAGGACTTTCCTTTGAAGGGCTTGTTTGGAGTAGTGCATTGGGAGGAGACTAAATGTGGTAGCTTTCAGATATTGACCGGCACTGGGAGAGTTGGTTGTAAATCTGCAATAAAGTAGCAAAATCAAACCTCACAGACCCTTTGCTGTATGAAGCAAAACAAAAACAACTATTGCCTCACAGGTGAAGCATCTGTGGAATTCTCTGACCCTTATGATGAGAGACAAAAGAAACTGCGGACTAGGGAGCCGTGACTGCAGAAGGGGTAGGGCTGGGAGGGAAGGAGGCAGCCGGTCTCTGGAGTCCACCCCCACCTGCATGTACTGTGCTCTGTGTGGACTTACTGTGTGTCTGCTTCCTTCCTGCCTAAAGAACCGGCAGCAAGTTTGCCTTTGAGCTTTTCCCTCCGGAGCACTGTGCAAATGAATCCTGTGACAAAGGCTGTGATTGACAGGTGCGAGGCAGACAGATTGCTCACTTCTAGCAGCAAGACTATGTTGAATGATGACTATCAAATGGGAAAGGAGGCTTGGATTTAATGAGAGGCCAAAGCTGTGACAGCCAGGGCACCCAACAGGTTAGCAGTGAGGACTAACTCAGGCTGCAGACTGGTCACGCCCTTGTATTTCCTTCCTCTCGGGAGTTCTCCATCCCTCCCTCTCCCTGCCTGCCTCCTGTCTGGCCTAGTTTGCTGGTTCCCAGACAGGGAGCAGAGCATCCTCTCACTCCCAGTGAGGTCGTGAGGGGAAACAGGAAGCAGAGCAGACTCGGCATCCCAGTCCCCATACAGCCACCCTTTGTATAAAGCATCTGCTGGTGTAGGTCCTCACAGTGACATGATCCCTGCCCTGAAATTGAGAATGACTTTGAGATGTCCAAGTGCAAGGGGATGGTATTAGCTGCAGATAGGAGCTGATAACCCGGGGTGGTGTTACTGCTGCTGATCTTGCAGGCAGTTTTCTGAGCCAGCATGCTGGGGGTGATGAGGCATATCCAAGGTCTGTTGTGAATGACCACTGTCCTGCAGGTGTGTGGGTGGTGTTGTGGGGCGGAGGTAAAAAGGGTTCTTATGTAGCTGCAACAGAAAAGCAAAAAAAAAAAAAAAAAAAAAAGGCATTGCTAGTTGACCAATATTTTCTCACCAATGGAGTGTTTTTATGTTTAAAATAAAATAGTGATGGTGGCTGGATTTGCAAAGGGCTATTTATCCAGTAATTATCTAAGCAAAGCTATCTCAGCCTGCAGCTATAACCATAAGAACTTCTGGCTTTAGTCTCATTGTCTGAGGGGCGTCATCTGTTGCATGAGATGGGTGGCTAGGATGGGAGTGGCAGTCAATTTAGCAGAAGCTGGTTGGACCTTGTGTCTGTTGCTAAGGGTGCTGGATCTCTGTGGCTATGGGGCTAGAGACAGTGAGAGTGCAGCTGAGATGCTCACCTTTTCAGACAAGTTTTGGAGTAGACTGGGTGGAATTCAGCAGTGATGATAAAATGTGTATGAAGAAGGCTGACTTTGACTCAGATAGCCTTTGCAAGAAAGGTGCTGGAAGGAACAGGTGGGGATGAAGCCAAGTGCACAGAGGTAGGAAATGGATAGATGTAGGGAAGGACTCGCAGGTGGGAGGGAGATCTTCCGGGAACTGGTGGCTAATGCTGTGAATTTTTCCTGCATTTGGCACAGAGTGACTTTTCAGTATTTAAGCTGAAGGAGCAACAAATCAGAGCAATGTCTGTGAATGGAACACATCCCACCTGCAGAAGAAGAAACAGTACACTCTGTGTTGATAAAGACAAGCCTCCCTCAAATGACTGTGTGTGTGTGTGTGTGTGTGTGTGTGTGTGTGTGTGTGTGTGTGTGTGTGTATGTGTGTGTATAGGTAGGTAGGAGATAAAGCCCCAAATGTAGTCGTGTGGCTTTGGGCCCTTTCTAGCTGTTTCTCTCATTCCAAAGGCGTTTCTAGCTGTTTCTCTCATTGCTTTGAGTCCTAACTCTGTTCTTTCATTGGGCAGGGAATGTAACTTTGTGGGAGCACACTTGCCTGGCATGTGACAGGCCCTGGGCTCGATGCCCAGCACAGGAAGGGAAATGCACATCACCCTCTCCAGACTTGTACTTCCGGTGACCTGGTGAGCGAGAGCAGGCTGGGCTTGCCAGGTCCCTCTCTCTTTCCTTATTATCTTTTGCCCGTATCTAGGGCAACAGATGGAGAACAATATGAAATGTGATAATAAAGAGATTGGGGGTAGGTAAGAATTATCGTTCTAAAATTACAGTGTTTACATCTGGCTAGATTTCTTATAATGAAATGCCATTTTCACTCCCTACTGCTGTGAGAGGAGAGTTGGTTGGTGTCTGTTCTGTGTATGAGACTCTATCTACCCCAGCCTCTCAGGGTAGTTGACCACATGGCCTGAGATTGAAATGATCATTGAGTTTCTAGAAGCAACTATGAAAGATGCACTTAGATTCTTGAACACCAAAACGTGATCCACTGTTGGGGTGAAGAGTGGTTTTCCTTTGCTACAGCATTTCCTTTCTTTTTTTGGTTGGGGGGGGGGGGCGGATGGGGACGGGGACCATGCAGGAGACTGAGCCCAGGTCTTCAGGCTTTACAGCAAGTGTCCATTCCTGTTGAGCCGTCTCCCTGGCAACTATAAACGTGTTTTTAACTGCAATGATGTCCTTCCTTCTTCTGCCTCAGAATTGAAATCAGTACCCCTGACTTGGTTTGCTCTAGGGATATTCCCAGGGCTACTTGCGAGGAGTCTAGAGTTCCATTCACTTTGGGCCTTCCATGAAAGGAGGAGCTTAAGTTGATTGTAGTTCCTGCCTCCAGACCACTGCGCGGTGAGGCTTTGTCCTATGTGGTGGAGGGGCCATTTATGTCCCTCCCATGTAGCATGGGAGTGTGGGGTGTTTGTGGAGGAGGTGTTCCTAGACTGGCAGCACCAGAGCTGGCTGCACCGAGTGAGGAATCATTTTCTTCACAAGGTGGAGTGTTTCGTCAGTTTGGAACTGGAGTCGGCCTTCAGCCTATGCTCAGAACTCTGCGTTCTCTGCTCCAGAACTCGGAAGGATGCACTATTTTCAGAAAGTAAAGGATAAAGAAAATCATGTGCAGTGTGTGTGTGTGTGTGTGTGTCTTCTCAAAGAGGCACCTTGCTTACCATGGTATCTGAGTACATGTTAGCCATGGTAGAGTCATAGGGACCTGGCCCATAAGGCTAAGGTTGATCGTTCACAGTACATGTTGTTATGTATATGATCAGGAGGTGTCTAGGGACTCATATCAGTCCTCTTCTTTTTTTAAGTTAAAAACAATTAATTAAAATATAATTACATCATTCTCCCCACCTCCCCTCCCCGTGTTATATCAGGCCTCTTTACCCAGGGTAAAAATGCAGCCTCTCAGCCGGGCATGGTGGCACATGCCTTTAATCCCAGCACTCAGGAGGCAGAACCAGGTGGATCTCTATGAGTTCAAGGCCAGCCTCGTCTGCAGAGCAAGATCCAGGACAGGCATCAAAACTACTCAGAGAAACCCTGTCTAGAAAAACAAAACAAAACAAAAAATGCAGCCTCTCAGTTCTGCCCACCTTGTGGAGAATGGTCCTAAGGAGGGAGGAAGTGGAGAGATTGGCACAATCTGTTGCCTTTCACTCTGAAATGCTGTGGAAGCATGCTTTTTTTTTTTTCTAGAGCTGAGGACCGAACCCAGGGCCTTGCACTTGTTAGGCAAGCACTCTACCACTGAGCTAAATCCCCAATCCCGGAAGCATGCTTTTGATGTCTTGGCTCTTTAGTTTTTCTCCCCTGTCCTGTGCACCCAGAAGAACACCCTGAGGTCAGCAGAGGTGTGGTCTGTCTGTCCTTGTGTGCTGAGTGGCACTGATGGCACTTTGTTTTGTGACCCCCCCTAGGACCTGAAGATGGAGTAGGAACAAAGGCATCCCCCGTGATTCTGAGCACCTTTCCCTGTGGACTCCAGCCCTAGCCAGAGGCTGCATGTGGAGCTGAAGGCACTGACCTGTTACTTTCCTGAGAACCCCTTTCTCTCCTAATTCATGAGCCAGCAGGATGCGGTCGCTGCGCTTTCAGAACGCCTGCTCATAGCTGCGTACAAAGGCCAAGCAGAGAATGTGGTTCAGCTCATCAACAAGGGTGCCAAGGTAGCGGTTACCAAGGTAACAAGGAAAAATGCCGTAGCTATTCTCTGGGAACAGCTCACCTCTTGTCTGCAGAACTGCTGTTTGGTTCATAGTTTTTAAAGAACTGGCTTTGGTAAAGAGATGGAGGCTTGGGAAGAAACAAGAAGCATTGGAAATGTTTTCATTGTCGTCTTTCAAATGGAGCGTTTGTAACATGCATTTGACAGTCTTTAAAATCACATATGACCTTTCTCCATTTACCTTTGTAGCCAGTGGACAGGATATCTCTTTGGAGAAGTTCCTGCACAGAGGCTGACTAAACAGTGAGCTTGGGGGTGGGGTGGTAATCATGTTAGGCAGGCCTTCTAGCAAGGTGGACCAGCCTTTGGTCAGGAAGCCCCTGCCCCTAGACTCATTGTCTCATCTGACAGTTTGGACCAGATGACTGTCGTTACTACGGTGGGCTCTGTTCTCATGTGGGCTTTGCAAGACATTGCTCTTCCGTCATGGGCAGATGATAACAATGGCAGATCAGGGATATTTGGTCGAAGGAGTTTTATAGCAAAACCCCAGGAAAAGTAGGCCCTGGCCAGATGTGGTTGTGCCAGCATTAGGGAGGGAGAGGATCACAAGTTTGAGGACAGCCTGGGCTACATAAATAGTCTCAAAAATAAGCAATAAATAAACCGAACAAAAAACGTCAGGCCCTGCATAGTTGATGCAGACTTACCCAGCTGCTAGTAGCTGTGAGTATTATAAAGCCCTGGAGAATATTCTCTTCTCACCCCCACTTTGGAGATAAGAAGACCAAAGACATTTCTGCCCAGGCAGAAATGCCCCTTACATCCATGTGATGTGCAGATGGAGATATGGCATCATCTGTAATATCTCTGACTTTCTGGGCCAGATATTGGTCAGTCTCAGCCACTCATATGCATTTGAGTTCCTGCCCTTTGAGCACACAGGGAGAAGTTGTCCTCAGCAAGCCAGAGAAGGAATTCAGGACCTGTCCATGTTCCTGCTCTAATCTTGGACTTCCTTTTGGGAAATAAATTTGTTATGGCAGCCTGAGCACACCAATACAACCACATTCTAATTTTAGAAAACTTCCGTCGTCCAGTAAAAGACTGTATATCCATTCACTGCCTCCCTATCTCATCAACTATGAATCTCCTTTTCATTTATAAGTCTTTTTTCCTTGGATGTTACATAGAAATGGAATTATATGATGTCCTGGCTAGTTTTATGCCAACTTGACACAAGCTGGAGTCATCAAAGGAGAGAACCTCTATTGAGAAAATGCATCCATAAGATTGGGCTGTAGGCAAGCCTTTAGGGAATTTTAAATTTTTATTTATTTGTTTGTTTGGTTTTTCGGGACAGGGTTTCTCTGTGTAGCTTTTAGAGCCTTTCCTGGAACTCACTCTGTAGCCCAGGCTGGCCTCAAACTCACAGAGATTCACCTGCCTCTGCCTTCCGAGTGCTGGGATTAAAGGCATGCTTCACCACCTCCCGGCCAGGGCATTTTTTAAATTGGTGATTGATGGAAAAGGGCCTAAGTCATTGTGGGTGGTGCTATCCCTGGACTGGTGGTCCTGGGTTCTATAAGAAAGCAGGCTGAACAAGCCATGTGAGCAAGCCAGTAAGCAACACCCCTCCATGACCTCTGCATCAGCTCCTGCCTCTGGGTTCCTGTCCTGTTTGAGTTCCTGTCCTGATTTCCTTTGATAAAGAATAGCAGTATGGATGTGTAAGCCATATAAACCCTTTCTTCCCCAACTTGCTTTTTGTCCCAGCAATAGAAACCCTGACTAGATGTATGGCATGTGGTCTCCTGTCGTGATTTCATTCATGGGGCATAGTATTATCAGGAGTCATTCTTGTTGCAGTGAATGGCACTTCATTCCTTTTCACGGCTGGACAGCAATTCGTAGTAAGCACACATAGTAGTCCCCTTTGTAGCGTGAATCCTAAAGGGTTTTATTAATAAAATCAAACCTGAGGCCAGTTATTGGGGTGAACGCTGGAAGATCAGAGAAGCAGAACAAGCCACAGCCACCTCACCTTGCCAATTCCTCAGCTGATCCTGTTTCCTCAGACTGGAAGCCTCTGAGTTCTCATCCAAAATGGATCTCAGCTGAACTGCTTCTCAAAAGCCTGAAAACTTAACCAGCCAAAGCTTCTAGTTTCTGGTCCTCACGCCTTATATATCTTTTTGCTTTCTGCCATCACTTCCTGGGATTAAAGGCTCTTGTTACCACACCTGGCTGTTTCCAGTGTGGCCTTGAACTCACAGAGATCCAGGTGGATCTCTGCCTCTGGAATGCTAGTATTAAAGGTGTGTGTGGTACTATTTTCTGGCCTCTATATCTAGTGGCTGTTCTGTTCTCTGACCCCAGATAAGTTTATTAGGGTGCACAATATTTTGGGGAACACAATATCACCACACCCCTCATCTATATTACAGAACCTCCAGTGGATGCCTGACGCTACCAAGCCCCATACATGCTGTTGTTTCCTAGATAGAGATATTTATAATAGAGTTTAATATATAAACTAGGCACAGGAGGGGAATGGCCACAATTAATGAAGTAGATCACACACACACACACACACACACACACACACACACACACACACACATTCTATATATAATATATCAGTACACTAAGATAAAGTTGCCAGCATCCATATTGTCGTGCATTGGGAACATAGAGCAAACTAACGGTACCTTCAACACATGCACTGTAACACCACCACAGTCCATCTGATGGAGGAAGGACTGCAGGTAGGAAGGGTGGAGAGCATGGATACACTGGACAAAGAGGGTGATTCATGTCCCGGTGGGGAGTGAGCTTTCATTGTGTCGCCCAAAACAGTATGCCATTTCAGACTTCAGAATTCTTCGTCCCTTGAATTTTCCATTTACCACTTCAGATTGTGGCTGACAATGGTTATTATACAGCGTGAGATGGTCGGTCAAGGGGGATCATTATACTGTCCTTTAGTCAGTTAATGGACATTTCCGGTTGTTGCTAGATTAGGGCTATTATGAAAATGGCTGCCAAAGCCATGAGCATCTGCACACACACTTTTGTGTGGGCAGAGTTTGCATTTATGTTGGGTGAATATCAGGGAGGTCTGCTGAGTCACATAATAAATCTGTTTAACGCTATAGGAAAATGCCATGCCTGTTTTCAAAGTGGGTTTACAATTTCGAATTCCCACCAGAATGTTTGAGGGTCCTGTTTCCTACTTCTTCACCAATGCTTACTATATTCTATGGTTTGTTTGTAGAGACGTTGAGTCATTCCTATATCCTAGGCTGGCCTTGAGTTCACGGTAGCCTTCTTGCCCCCAGCTTTCCAAGCACTGGGACTATAGGTATGAGCCACCATTCCTGTCACCATTTACTTTTAAATACACATTATCTTTGACTTACAATGGAGTCACGTCCCGATCAACCCATCGTAAATTGAAAATACTGGGGGTTAAATGCATTTCTTACACCTAACCTACTGGACATCTCAGCGCAGTAGCACTACACATGTGGGATATCCTCTGCTATCTTTCTGACGTGTGGCTTGCTGTTGCTTGCCTAGCATCCCAAGAGGGTCCCATACAGCATATTTCTAGCCTTGGGGGGAACAAATCAAAATTTAAAATGATTTCTCATGAGTGTGCATTACTTTTGTATCAGTGTTATAGATTCATAAGTCAAATCACCGCAAACCAGGGCTTGTTTTTACGTACCTTTACCAAAGTCGAATTTATGCACAAGGAACTGTAAAACCGTTGAAGTACTGCATTCTATGCGTGTGGGTGTTTTGCCTGTGAGTGTGTCTGTGTCCTACTGCAGTGTTGGGTGTACGTACATAGTGTCTGTGTCCTACAGTTCGTGCGGTGCCTGCAGAGGCCAGAGGAGGCTGCCAGATCCCCTGGGACTGGAGTGACAGATGTTTGTGAGCCGCCATGTGGTGCTGCTGGAAATTCAACCTGAGTCCTCTGGAAGAGTAGCCAGTGTTCTTAACCACCAAGTCACCTCTCCAGAGCCTGCTAGAGAACTTTAAAAAAAAAAAAGACATCATAGTTCCACACTGCCAGTTCAGCTGAGGCGTTCCCTTTCCCATAAGGGTTCTGGCTTTATCACAGGCAGGGCTCTCAGGGTGCCTGGATCTTCATTCAGCACGTGGGTGAGCAGAATGATGACCAGGGAAAGCATAAGACATTCCCCAAGTGTGTGTGTGGGCTTCTCAAGGGAGCTGTGTGCTCAGGGGTCTTTACAGCCGGCATGTATGTGGTCCTATGGCTTCCTAAGTTACATGGTTCACAGTGTAATTTACAACAAAGTTTAAAGGCTGAAGATCTTTCCTTTTGTAAGCAAAATGGTGAGCTTTCCGAAGGGTGTTGTTTGGACTGAGAATGAGAAGAGCGCTCAAGGCTCCAGGATCTACATCATTTTGGCCCTAAGTAAGCACTTCAGTTACTGTCCTTGGCATCTCGGTCTGCGACGTCTTTAGGAGACCATGCCCTTGGTGGGCAGTTTGGGGCTGATGAGTGTCTGAAGTGTCCCGGCTCTGTCAGCGGGACAGGAGAACCAGGTCTAGGACCACGGGCCTCTTCCCCTTCCCATGTCCCCAGGATGTCCTCTTGTTTCTCATGGAGAGGTGACTTTCACATCTCCTAGCTCTTCCCTTCCCCACCCACGGGAGTCCACATTCTTAGAATGTAGGTGTACTATTGATTGACCAGTTGAATTTTTAAAATGAATTATGTTTTCAATACTTACAAAAGAACAGATTTGCATCTTAACTATTTGTAGATGTGAGTTTCAGTGACCCTGTAGACACTGACACCATGCCCCAGCTGTCGCCACCATCCACTTCCAGACCTTGTCCCACCCTTCCAAATGGAAGCTGTGTTCTCGTTAAACCCTGAGTCCTCAGTTCCCCTGAGCACCCAGAACTCTTTTCTCTGTCTTTTGAGGCAAGGTCTCACAATGTCTCTCTGACTGGCCTGGAACTAACTCCCAGTGT